TTCCCACCTTTAGTGGTGAAGAGTCATTGTTCTTTAAAAATCTGGAAGTATATTTTCATATGCACTCCATATACATTATATTTTTTCGTAAGTGAATCACATCCTCATTTTTTCATAAATTAGTATAGAGGGGCACCTTTGAAAAAATATGGAAGTATACCTCCGCAATAACCCTTAGGCAGTATGATTTAAAAAATTTCATGAAACACACTGATGTAATAAGTATTATGATATAATAGGTTAATAATAAACATATTATCATAAAAAATTTGTTATCAATGAAATCACACATTGATGCACTAAGAATAAATGTCATGTATTAGAATCAATCTAGAATCCATAATCAAACATCATAGTTGACAAATTTGAAACAATAATACAAATACTATTAAAATACAAGTAAAAGTGAACTAGTGGGTATATCTAACCCATTGTTCCCTCTCTGCTTTCTGTATTACAATGCAGTCTGAGTCTCGAATAGAATGACATCTATAATAGCCATCACAGGAGTGCCTTCTGGAAACTTTCCTCTCTCTCTATACCCACTCGTGCAATGGCCTCTATACGACGACATGCAGGTAAAGCATCAATGACATGACCTGTCCTAGCATGTTTCTCCTATAATATCTCCTGATGAGTTAGTCTAGGTGGATCCCCGTGAGCATCTAGTGTCATGTAAGGATATGTCACTCTGAAACACTATTTGATGTAGCCGAATGCACTACACCATAACTGAGAAGCTAGCACACTTCATGCTTCCTTTGGTACCAAATGATTATATAATTCATCAAACATCGCATCAACATATACAAATGACATGGGAAGGAGCAAACATTGAGGGTTCTTTTGGAATGTTGTAGAAACCTGAATTGGGGCATGACTTATTCATGTAGATATGGATAAATTAGGCGTGACCCATTAGCTAACCAATTAGAGTAGAAGGTTATGAAATCAAAGGGACACGTCTGAAGGTGATCTTCGTGCAATATATAATGTATATCATCTGCTGCAGTGCAGTTAAGAAACACTCTGAACGACTCGTCGTCTGATTCCATCTGAGTAAAACAAATGCACAAGAACGTTGCGAATATTCATAGTATTCATCCATATATGACCAGCCAAAGATGCGTGAAAATGTTAGTAATGGCGTAACACACATGTTATGAAATGTCAGTAATAGTAAAAATGCAAATATATTACAGTAAACAACATGCAACTTACGGTCACTTGTTTGGTCTTCCAAAGATGAGCTTCACCTAAATTTGAGTACATGTAAACCAAACAAGCGGCACCCTAGTTTTACTCATGAATCCACTTGAAGTTAATGAAGTATCTAAGGTAAACCACATCGATGTAATAAGCATTTTTCATCACAAATATTGATATGTCAACTAAATACATGAGGTATGACCTCAATGCACATGATTTATGATACAAAACATGTGCATCATTATCATTAGCCTCCACTTCCTCAACTAGGTGGTATATATACAACTTCTCCAGAAATGAAAATCTAGCATGACACCCTCAAGTGTCATACATCTCCTTTTGGACATCACCTGGGTCAGCTCCCAAACAAGTCTCCATCATCTCCAGTACTTCATGTATGATTATTCTGGAGTAGTTTAATGATCTTCCTCTAATAAAAAGATGTAGCAGTGATGATACATCATCTAGTGTAATGGACATCTCACCGGGTGGAAGATGAAAAGATGACGTCTCTGAGTGTCATCTATCAACGAAAGTTGGAAGCATACCATGGTTAATAACAGTATAACCATTCATGCATAAATCTTTCATCCTAAAAGCATCATGAGAGCATTGCTTCTTAAACTAATGTAGCTTCAAAATCTTGCTACCAAGGTTGATGCATTTTAAAGCATTATGGTACTGGAAAACAAAAAGGCATCGTCATAAAATTCAAATATTATAACTCATGTGTTTCAAACAATAAATAAATACAAATATATTTTAGCTCTCAATCCCACATGTTCCAAGCAACATGGTTTTCATAGAAAGGCAATAGTGAAGTGTGATAGGGATCTCTTCCAAAATCTTCGAGAACGACATCAGGAATTGAAACATTGGTGGCAAATGCATCAACATATACTGGTAGGGCTTTCGGGGCAACAAATGTGATACTTGCCTTCAGAAATACATAGTCGAAGACATCTCAACTCTAAAGTGGATGCTTCCGCATCAAATAAACAGGCATCAACTGGTGATCGCGAGGGCCAGGCTTTCTCCCCGCGAATAAATGCATGTTCGGACACTCTATTGTGTCTCAAACATTTTTTATTGTCATCCATTTTACCTATAATCAAACCCACGTGAAATACACTCAAAATCAAATAATGCAAACAAAATATAAAAATCCACTTCCGTATTTTCGAAAAATCAAATTCAAACAAACTCAAAAGTGCACTTCCGTATTTTCCAGAAACTCAGAAAATGCAAAAATGACAGAAAATACATGAAACCCAAAAAAGGCAGAAAACACATGTCTCAATAAACTACCTAACAAAGAATGTAATTATAACATAATCTACATTAAACAATATATTTAGTAATGCATGCATAAAAAATAAATAAATAAAAAAGAATTAAAAAAACTTACAAAATGTGAGAAGTGGAAACTCTTGGAATGAATGAGCTTGAGTAGTGATTGATAAAGCTCTTAAGTTAGGCGTAATGCAGTAGAAAATTTTTGAGCATATTTTAGCTCTTGGGAGTTCTCATGCACAAATGAGGAAGTTTATCTTAGAGAAGGTTTAGGAAATTTTGTTAGAAATGAGGAAGGGGGAAAGTCTAACGCGTTAATATTACTCAAAACTCGTCCGGAGGTATACTTCCACTTTTTTTATGGAAATACATCTCTATACTAATTTATGAAGAAATGAGGGTATGCCTCACTTACGAATGGATGAGTGGACTTTTGGTGCATGCCAAAATGTATTTCTATATTTTAGAGACATTTTTATATTCTTACTAAGGTGTGTGAGCAACACTAAAGGTGCAATAAACAATGCCTTTTTTGGTGTTTTTTTTTGTCTCAATTATCTTCTTGTTATTTCTTTTGGGCCTATATTTTATTGTTATATTGATATTTTTACCAACCACCTCCACACTTATACTTGACACATTCCAATTGCAATATTTTTAACATAATACCCTTGTGATTTTTTATGTATTTAAAAATATTGTCTGTTTTCCATATTTTTGGGAAATTTATGAGTTTCCACTAAATTTTTGGAGAATTTTATGAGCTTTTATCGAATTTTTGGGGGATATTTGAGCGTTTATCGGATATTTAAGGAATTTCATGAGTTTTTTTTTTTTTTGATTTTTCAAATTTTATTGGATCTTTTAAAAAAGCTATGAGTGTCTATCGAATTTATCGAAAATCTATGAGTTTTTATCGTTTTTTAAAATCTATGAGTTTTTCCTGATTTTTCAAAAAACTATGAGTTTTATTAGATTTTTCAAAACTCTATAAGTTTTTATCGATTTTTCAAAAAAATTCGATAGTGTTAATTTTATTTTTGTCTACCAAATATGAACTATCGGAATTTAAAAATCTATAAAATTACAAACATACCAGATTTATCAAAAATAGATTATCTTGATTTTTAAAATAGACTATCTGATTTTTCTATTCCTACTGAATTTTTAATTAAACTACCGGATTTTTCATACGCTATTATTTTTTGATTAAATTTTAACCAGAATATTTTAAGTATTACGAAAAATTATGGGTGTCATGTGTAATTGTAGGGATGATAGATAAAAATCGGTTATATTAGGCTTCTTTTTATTTCATTTTTCTTTTAAGTCCACCTATGTTTTGGATCACAACACAATATTTGTGTGACACTACTTTCTTCAACCTATGCACACATCCAACAAAATGTTTGAGTAATCTCGTGTGCATTATTTTTGCATTAGCTTCTTTCTTTTTTTTCTCACACTCATTAAGATTGTTCTTTTTTATTTATTTTATTCTTAGTGGTCTATTAATTGGATTTAAAAAAAAAAGAAGAAGAGATAAATCAACAAATTGGAAGGAAATGATCTAATTTTGTAAGAAAATTAGTAATTTTGTTTCATTTGAAAACACAATTTTAGAGAATTTCTATCATATTCACTTCTAGAAACAGTTTTATAAAGCAGTGAAGAGTTTTAATAAATAAAAAATATAAAAAATGAAACTAAGAGAAAAATAACAAATTAATAAACTATATAGAAATTTCAAAATATTAACTTAAATAAAAAATAAAAATATTTATAATTTAACTTTTGAAAAAATATGTTAAACTTTTGAAATTGAATTATAATTTTTTTTAATGATAAATTGTTAGTAATTATATATTTATACGCTTGTCGGTACATGAACCATACCCCCTCCATCCTCAAAGTAAAAGAAATAGTACAATAAGAGATGTTGTATGTAACTTGATAACAGGAAGAAAAAAAATACTATTGAAAATGAGAATAAATTCATAAATTAAATATATTTGAGGTTTCTAAAATATTTTAACTACTAAATTTTAGTCTCTTAAAAAGATATTGGTTTTTCTAAGTTTTCTAACATAATAAGAGTTCTCTTTATTTAAATCCAACTAACGAAAGCTAACGATAAATGTACAGTTCTACTCTTTAAATTAATAATGTCAGGATCGAAGAAATTTATTAATTTAGAGAGTTATTAATTTATCGATAAATTAATAATTACTAATTTATAGAGTTTTTAAGTAATTATACTGTACATACCAAACAAAAAGACAAATTAGTCTATGCCTATTAGAATTACGTTGCAGCGAACCTTGGGACTCAACGTAAATTAGTAACTACTGTGTTCATATGCATTGGGAATCAATAATGACTTTTGAAGTACAGTAAATGTAAACAAGAGGAACAAATGTGTTCAATGTATTCTTAAGCAAGTTTTCCATATATAAATTACATGAATGTATTAGAGTATTCAAATCATATCTCACAAAATGGCTTCTCATCTAAAAGGTGTAGCAAAATCAACTATGTCAGATCGAATACGTAAGGAGTTGTGTGAGTACAAGAGAGATAATCCTGCAAGCACACAAAAAGACTTGCAGAGATGGCTTGAGGAAAATTTTCAATTGAAAGTTAGTCAAGGAACAATATCAAACACACTTAAACGGTCAAATGACTATCTCTCTACTGAAATAGAAAAGGGAAAAGCAGATATCAAAAGACACAAACCAGCAAAATATCCTGACATGGAGAAGGTTGTTTATGAGCGGTTTCTCCAGCATCAAGAACGTGTGAATATCACAGGAGAATTAATTTTGCATAATGCAGGAGATACAATGAAACTCGTGTACCCTCATGATGATTCATATTTTAACTTCTCTATAGGATGGCTTGGGAAATTCAAGAACCGACATGGCATAAAGTCATTTCATCGTTTTGGCGAGAGTGGGTCTGTTGATGTACAAGACATGGAGCAGAAATTAGTATCGATTCGGGAGAAAATTGATCAGTTCCCTATGAAAGATGTTTTCAATATGGATGAAACTGGGTTATTTTATAGGCTACAAGCTGATCATTCACTGACAACAAAACAACTTGAAGGAAGAAAACAAGATAAAGAAAAGCTGACGGTAGTTATTTGTTGCAATGAAGATGGCTCTGAAAAAATCCCTCTATGGATTATTGGGAAATATGCAAAGCCTCGTTGCTTTAAGAATGTCAACATGAATAGCTTGGATTGTCAGTATCGAGCTAACGAAAAAGCATGGATGACTAGTGTGTTTTTTGATGAATATGTTCGTTCATTTGACCAAATGATGCATGGTAGAAGAGTTCTACTTGTGGTGGATAATTGTCCAGCACATCCAAGAAATATTGAAGGGCTAAGAAACATTGAGTTGTTCTTCTTGCCACCCAACATGACATCAAAGATTCAACCTTGCGATGCTGGGATAGTAAGATCTTTCAAGATGCATTACCGTAGAAGGTTTTACCGCAAAATATTGGAAGGTTATGAGGTGGGACAATCTGATCCAGGGAAGATAAATGTCCTTGATGCTATCAATTTGGCAATCCCAGCTTGGACGATTGATGTTTGAAAAGAAACAATAGCGAATTGCTTCCGACAATGTAAAATTTGTTCAGCTAGTGACGTTGCAAGAAATTTGGATGAATCCACTTTTGATGAAGAAACTCAAGACCTCGAGACTATGATCAATCAATGTGGCTATCATAATAAGATGGATATCGACAATCTAATGAACTATCCATGTGAAAATGAAGCATGTTTGGAGGTTCAAAGTTTAGAAGATATTGCGGGTACTATCATTGAGAACAATGCAGAGGATGACGACGAAGATGATACGGTGTCTTTGGAACCTGTTACGCGAAAGGAAGCACTTATAGCGTCGAACACTCTTCACAACTTTATGATTGTAGATGTTCTTGATTGGCTGCATTTTATGGTAAAACATGGTTGTGTGTGTAGATGTCATGATTGATGTCATGACATGCTTGTGTAGTGTTCTGCAGGGTAAGTTTGGTTAGCTAGAACAAAGTGTATTGGACGTCATACTGAATGTTATGACATCAGGTTGTTGACATCAAGGGCGCATGTTTATTTTTCTGGTATAATGCATGAGTGAGCTCAGGCTAGATTTCAGGAAACACTTTAGGGATCCTAGTTATCTCAGGCGAAATGCTAGGCAGTGCTGAGCATAACATGAAAGGCCTATGACCTAATTAAAAGAACCCTGATTTATGGAAAAGGGGTTTAACTTGGTTAAACCTAACTTCTGCCACTCAGGCCCAAGATCCGTGTGCTGCATATAAATAGACGAGTGACAATCCTGATTGACGATGGACTAACTTAGAGATTTTAGAGAATTTGTAAGTGAAGAATTCTGTTTGTTCTTCACGTGTGTTTTGTGTCTTAGGATTACTTGTGAGCCAAGCAATTATCACCTGGATGATTGCTTTGGACTGGTGTGTTTTGAGTTGTACTCTGTTTGTTCTTTAAGTGTTTTACTACTTAGCTTAATTGTCTGTTCAGTAGTGGATGTCATAACATCCAGTATAACATCGACTGCCTGTTACTAGAATTTCAATTGGCATCAGAGCAGGCACCCTGCCTGTTATTTTCTGGGTGAGATCTAGGGAAGAAAAATTCTGGTACTATGGACAAGAATATAGGATTCACAAATAGACCACCAATTCTAGATGGTTCTAACTATGACTACTGAAAACCTCGTATGATAGCTTTCTTGAAGTCTCTGGATAGCAAGGCCTGGAGAGCGGCTAACTCAGAATGGGAACATCCAGTGAAAACAGATAAAGATGGAGCAACTGTGCTAATACCTGAAGAAGAGTGGAGCAAAGAGCAAGAAGCCTTGGCTCTTGGGAATTCTAAGGCCCTAAATGCTTTATTCAATGGGATATATAAGAACATCTTCAGACTTGTGCATCACTGTGAACTGGCCAAAGAGGTTTGGTATACTCTCAAAATAACTCATGAAGGTACCTCTAAGGTCCAGATGTCTAGATTACAGATGCTGACAACTAAGTTTGAGAATTTGAGATAAATTGTCTTCATCTTCATCAATGGATTAATCTCAAGAACTAGCTCAACAACAACAATAACAATCTACTCAACCATAGTAACGATCCGCACAACAAAAAGAACAGATGAAAGAAGGAATCCATGAACTCACTCTTTCTACTCCAGTGGATCAGTTAGAAGTTCTCTATGAGTTAATGATGGATTTTGAAAATCTAAAGGAAATTGGATATGATTTGATTAAAGGAGTTAAATCTTAAGGCTGATAAGGTTACTTTGATCGTCTCAAAGGACCTATCTATATTGAATTAGTTAAATAGTTTTGGATCTTTGCTCATACCATAAGTCTTCAAATTCATCCTTACGTGTTAGGGCATAAGATAACCATCACTGAGATATCCATAGCAAAACTCCTAAACCATGACAGTTCTGGGAAGAGGTGCTTTGAGATACATGGCAAGAAAGATATGAGGGATGTTATTGCCAATGTTTTTTCCAAGATGGAAAGAACTTCTCCAATGCCAAGAAATTGCACAAACATCAGAGAGTTTGGTTCAAGATTCTTCTGGGATGCATTCTCCGCCCTAAAAAAACTCATCTAATTATATCAACACCGACCAGAAACATATGTTATACTACCTTTCTTCAAGTATTTGAGGGAGTTGGTCAGAGAAATAAGAAATGGTTCTCAAAAATCCATAAAGTGGATTCCATTGAGAAGGTTGATTTCAAATATCCTTTTTTAGAGTAAATTGGTTCAAATGATGATGGATGTAGGATTTACAAAGGAAGTGGAATATGAAGTTGGAAAGTCCTTCAATGGAAGGAATCTAAAAAAAATGTCATTAATCTCTTCTGTCATTGACCCTTCAGAACTTCTAGACAAGAACGTCGTTAGCTCCAGAAGGATTCCCATTGATGACTTCCTTTTGTTCACCAATGAAGATATTCAAGATGTTTTGGAATCTTACATAGCTAATTATCTGACAACAGGTGTAACGTCAGTGCCTTACTCTTTTGGTGAGTTACTAGAAACATATTCAGATGTTTACTCTTTAAAGAGAAAGAGGAAGTCCAAGTCTATTGGTGATGGACACTCTAGAGCCACACAGCCTCCAACAAAGATTTCCAAAACTCCTGACATCTTGAAGGATACTATGGGATCTGGAGAAGTTATTAGTTCTGGGAACCCATGCCTGCCGAAGCTGCTACACCTAAGCCTAATGGTAAGTCCCTTATGACTGAGACTTCTTGCCATTATGCTCGTTCTTCTTTTACTATTGCATCTCCTCCTCCTCAACCATCTTCCATTCTAACTCTAGTACCTGCTTACACTCCTTTTGGAATTATCACAACTCCCATTTCAAAATAACTATCAATATCTGTTATAATCACCACTTTAGTATCAACTGTATCTATTACTATCCCAATATCAATTTCAATAACATCTAAATTAACCACTACTACTACCATTCTAACAATTTTTGAAACATTAACAATTCCTGCTTTAGTAACCACAACAAATGTACCACCACAAACTAGACCAACTATTAATCAACAATCTGAATATCCCTCTATTTCAACTGAACAAACAACTGAACCAACACCACCACCATCCACTGAACCAATCCCCACTGAAACACAACCAACTATTTTAGAAAGCTCATCTTCTGACACAATCAAATCTACCCCATCTTCTATCCAGATTACCATACCAAAAGCCCATTCCTTTCCAGAAGACACCCCAACTCCACCAAATCCACCCCTTCAACCAAACCCAGTTGATGAACCTATCACTGATACTTTCTGGGAACGCCTCAAAAACAATGAATCATCAACTCCTAACTCTTATGACCAAACCATTCACATATCCTCTAACCATGAAACTGAACATAAACCATAACTAATCATTCATTCTGAGGAAGTAGATGTTTTAGTTAAGAAGTTTGAGGAAGAAGCGAAAGAGTGTCTTCACTCTCTGATGGAAGAATGCACTCGGTGCTTCAACCCAGCTCAGAGTGATTCTACATGGTCTGAGTTCAGAAGGAGGATGAATCCCCATTCTTGGTATCTGAAGGAACTCAGCTATAAGGATGTTGAAAAGGGTTCCATGATAAGTTGGATGAATTTATTGTGTCTCTTATGGAGTTGTTCAATCCAAAGCCTCCTCCCACTCTTGAGCTTGAAATGGTGGAAGAAGTTGATGCTAATATGGAAACTGAAGTTCCTTCTCTTCCAAAAACTGATATGGCAACCCTTTCTAGAACCAAGACTATTGTGGAAGCTGGAGACTCTAGTTTTGAACCTTCCTTGACGCTGAAGACTCTTTAAGAATTGAAGACTGATAATCGAGCTGTTAGATCATGCTTAGACAAACAAGACGAAATGTTCAAGGAACAGTTTGAGACTAACACCGGGGTTGAAGGGATGCTTCAAGGAATTCTGTCAAGACTGTTACCCTCTTCTTAGAAACCCTTATTTCTTTAATATATATATATATATATATATATATATATATATATATATATATATATATATATATATATATATATATATATATATATATATATATATATATATATATATATATATATATATATATATATATATATATATATATAGTTTTTACTTAAGTGTTGCTTTGTTATTTCTGCATTTTCTTTTGTACTTTTTGCATTTTCAATGAAATGAGGTTTATGTGTCTTTTACTTTGTCTATTTTATTTATATTTATCTTTTTTATTGATGACTAGGGGGGAAGAGTAGAATAAGATTTTGATATACTTATTTTCCTTCTGACACCCAAACATTTGACTCTGAGTTTTCTAATTTTTTACTCTAATAATTGATCTGGAAACTTTGGAAAAGTTCACCATCTTTGCAAACTTTTTCAATCAAGTTAACCAGGTTATTCAAAAGCTGAGAACTATAGTCAAAGATGTTAACCAAGTTTACTTGAGTTAACCAGGTATGTATCTGAAGAATATACACATTGCTGATAATCTGACTTTCTGATACTTGAAACCAAGACAATTTTAAATATTTTTGCAACCAGACTTCCTTGTTCAGTTAAGTTATTTCTTTCATGCTTCTTAAGACATTTTATGTGATTAAGATTATTTTAAGTCTTAAACTCAGAGGTAGCTTGCAAACCTAACTTTGAAGTTCTAAGATGAAAAATAATTTAAATAGCATAAGATTCAAGGGGAGATTACAAACCTCGCTCTAATACTTTTATGTGATTAAATCATGTAAAAAATTCTTCATTAAAATGTATGGTTCTTCATCAAAATGTAAAAAATTCTTTAAGTTAAAACAAGATTTAGTTATGCATCTTGCTTTATGTTCTGATGATAACAAGACATAGTATTTTAGAGAAGAATTTTGTACCCTAATAATTTGGCTCACTGTGCAAATTTTAAATTCAAGTACTGACTCTGAATTTATGACGTGTAGCGTCATCAGACTCTAATACTAGGGCACTCTGACTTTGGATTATGTGTTTAAAAAGTTGATCAAGCTCTGGATTCTGTACTTAACGCTT